TTTTTTTTGTTCCATCAACATCAAATTCAATATTAATATTGTGACGATAATCATAATTATCGTCGTATTGATAATTATTGTCGCCTGATGGTCGTCAACCCCAGGGTACACCCCTACCACTACCCCTAAATATCTATTGGTTCTTGGGGTCCATCAGAGAGACGCTCCGGAGATCCTGGCAATTAAGAAGTTAGAGCCAACGAAGACGTATCCCATAGGCGAACGCCTTGGGATACGTTAGTGTTAGTTGTGTGTGTGTGTTGTGCAACAAGACAGGTCCAGCTTAAAGGTCAGATAATGTAAATTATAAGCTGTAGCTATTCTCCCCTCATATCTCCATATAAGCATATATACCATGATATAAGAATAAGTGGTATTAGTTAGGGAACATGACCGTATGCAAGTACGGTCATGTTCCACAAATACATGCGGAATGTATTATTAATTATTTTAATAGATTTAGTTATGAAAGTAATCTTGGTTTCATTCGTATAGTAGCTACTAACCCCCACAGGTAATTACAGGTACTTTAGCGGGCGATTGGAGTGTTGAAGTAAGCCCTTCGTAAGGGGTTGCAAGGCTAGAATATAATATTTGGCAGCCATTGCATACCCCAAGAAGGGGGCTTCAACCCCTCTCGTCACAATGGTGAAAACGCATTCGATCCCCAACTTACAAATTTTTATTTTATATTTAATAATATTTAATAAAAAACCAAGCGAGTAGCTCCCACTGTATACGTGTTTCGGTTGTATTTTTAATGCGTTCGTAATTTTTATAGAAGTTGATAGAAATAAATCAAATTTTAAACGTCGCGAAATTTCTTTATGCTTGTGTATTTTCGTATGTGTATCGCTACATGTGTTTATCTGTAGTTTTGTTTCTTAAAAGCGCGCGTATCCCGGTATTTTAAGATTATAAATCATTGATTTGATTTGAAATAAGGCGTGAGTGTGAAATTGTATTAGTTGTTGTATTTTAATGTATTTGTTAAACATTATCTTTTTCGCATGTTGTTTAGTGCGTTGTAAATAATTTTGGATATTCAATAGTATAAAATTTATAAAATAACAAAATTGTTTTTTTTTTCTAATCGAATTCAATTTAAATTATTGCTCTATTAATTTAATTTTGCGTTTTCTCCCCAATTTTGTTTTACAGTATTACAAATTAATTAATTATTATGCTCGAATAGTAAGCAATAAATAAATAAATAAGAATTATAAATTCACATAATCGTAGATGTGATTGCAATTTTTTTCTTCATTTTATTCTTTTTATTATAAAAATCGCGTTAATATATCCACAAAAATATTTTTAGTTTTCTAAAATAATATTCAAATTGTCGAATATATTTTTTCTAGTAAGCTCAAATATGTTACACTCTAGCGCAGATACGCGTGGTCACGCAAAACACATGGCCATTTTTCGGAGAAATTTAACTTGCAGCCTCTTTCTTAAGTGATTTTGACCTGGCCTGTGCGCGACACAGGCATGGCGTACAAGTTCAAAAATTTCATACTCACACTCAGTGATTGTTAAACGGTTTTGAAAATGTTCGCGCGCATAATGCATTTTGTTGTCACTTTTAATAATATTTTTAAACATAAGTACGGATATAAATACAGATAAACACAAATAGTTTTAGCGGTTTTCATTTATTTTTGATCTAGTTTTCTTTTTATTCGCGGTTGTTAACAAACCCTGTAATTACCAAATTTTTCGATTTTAAAGACGAATGAGGCAAGATTACTTTTCACTTTTTACGCGCTATTATTAAAATAGTTAGGATAATTTAATTAAGTTAAGGTCTACCATAAATTTAGAAAAAAAGTCTGTTTCTTATTTGTGATTTTTTTTTTTAATTATTAGTTCTGAATATTATGTAGACCAAGAAAGTTGTAGAAAAAATATTAAGTTTTTCTTTACTTATATAGATTAAAGAATTTTCTAAATATGTTAATGTTTACTAGAAAGGATTTCATGTTTTTTTATGTTATCGTTAAAATTAAACTCTTATGAGAGTTTAGCTAAAAAACTTGGTAACTTTTTTTCAACTAGATTCATAAGATAAGAATTTTTACTTTTTATTTTATATAGAAAAATTTAATTTAAGTTGAAAATTATTTTATAATAAATTAATCAGTTTAAAAGTTTTTGAAAGTTATCCGAATAAGTCAAGTTTTTCGTCACTTTTGTTAGTCAAGTGTAGGATTAGCAATTTAACAAGTTTTAACAACTTGCTATTATTGCTAATTTTATTTTTAAGTAATGTTACGGGGGAGAATTAGCATAAAGACTAGCGTGCCTATGTGTAAAAGTGTAAGAATTTTGAGGAACTCACGGGGTGAGATGTTTGGCGCGTACGAAACGCGTGCAGAGAGTCGAAGTTTTTTGAGCCAGGCAGGCAGTGCGAATTGGATTTGTTAGTTTAACAAGGACTTAGTTTTTTTTTTTTCAAATAGTTGAAACATAGGCATGCTATTCATATCTGACCAGCTGGATTGTTGTATTATAAATAGGTATAATGTAATTGGTTTGTAGTATTAGTATAGTCTTTTTTAATATTTTTTATATTTTAATGTCGTGGATTTTCGTTTTTTTTTGTAAGATGATGCAATAATGAATTAGTTTTAATAATTTCGATTCTGATTATTAGTTTTAATAATTTGATTATTGATAATGTTTTTCTTTTTAACTAGTTTTCTCTCTTTTTTTATTGTTACGCGTACTAATGTTGGCCTCAGTTCTGCCGGGTCACCATTGACTGGTGCTCAATTCGCGGCTTTATCCGACCGATCCTATTACTAATAGTAGGATTGGGATATGATTTCTTTGCATAACGATTACAACGGCTATCGCGACCAGTCCAGTTATACATCGTATGCGGCACGGTAACGAAAGGACTAGCCAACCTTCGTTAATTAGAGCAGATTGCAGGCACAAAGTGTCTTTTAGAAGTCGTATCTCTGCGGGTGCAGGAACACTGGTAAGGGTTTCACTCGGTCTTGCCAAGTACGGACCTGTACCCGACGGTTGGATAAACGCTCTAGTTGTGTGCGTCATACAGCTAGAACGGCCAGTGACACTTTTTTTTCGCTGTTTTTATTTTCGAACTAGTAGTTTTTTTTTCTCTTCTCCATATTTGTCTAATTCTTATTAAATTTAATGTTTTTTTTTACTTCATAACACTTAGTTTTTCTATCATACGCGTAACTTCGTCACTTTTTACTGTTTTTATCCTATTTATCATTATTGCATTATCCGTTTTGTTCGCCACTTTAATATATTCGAATAATGTTTTGTTTTATATATGTATATATCGTTGTGTCGTTTTTTTAGCCGTACGTCGCGAAAGGTTTGGTTTGGTTTACGGATAGAGTTTATAGCCTTTGCTACAAGGTAATGAGAGTATAGAGGGCAAATTTAAAAAGTTAATTATGTTATGGTGCCCGATTGGATATGTATCAAGTATAATAGTTTTATGTTAAGTATGAGAATGATTAAGATTAGATAGAAACTATTATTTTCGTCGTGTTGTTTTTTGTTTACTGATAATGTCACCGTAAATCAAACCAAACGAACGTTTGTAGTGTATTATCGCGTTAGTTATACCGTCGGCGTTTTGTTAAATTTTCGTGATGCCCTTTTATATGGACAAAATACGATTTGATTTTTTATCAAAGATACTTTAATTCTGTCTCGTCAATAGTTATTGGCTCGTGTTTTTGACCGCCCAATCCTGATTAAGGGGTCCGATATGGCAAATAGAGTTAATGAAATGAGGAAATTAATAAAGGAAACAAGTATGTATGGGTAGTAGAGATAGGGCGAACTTGATGTTAGGAATCAAGAATAAGTATATTTGTATGAACAAATATATAAATTGAAGAATCGTGTCGTAGCCTTTACCACCTTTTTTTTAATTATTTATTTTCAATATTTTTTTTTTCTGTATTTTGTATAGTAATTATACCGTAGGCAGCTCGGCCGTCGGTTGACGTAGCGTTAGTCCGAGCGGCCGGGACAAGCAGTAACGCTTGGGCATGAAACGTCCGGGCTCGTTTCATAAGAAATTAGATCGATACGACATGATTCATTTTGGTAGAGTAGAAGATTTTTTCGGCGTAGAAGTATATGATTGAGAAAAAAAATCATTTACTTTTTTTTAAATATAATAATAATATTAGTTTAGACTTAAGATTCCCCTCCCCCTCCCTTAGATAGGTTGTAGAATTAAGTTTTAGAATATGTTAGGATATTTAGTCGTCATGGTGCAAAGAAGTTATAGTGGGATTTTTGTTTGTGGAGAGTAGGTTGTTGCAACATAAATAGTATAAATATAAGTCTGCAGACTGATATCGGGAGCCATATCGGATTTACGTTTTTTTGTTTTATGCGAATATAAGAATATTATTGTTTAAAGCTGGGCCCAGTTGTCCACGAGCGAGGACCATTGAGGTGTCCGAATCGATGGACGCGTACGGTTTCAATCGGGGAAACCGCCCTTAATCAAACCCGCAGCCGTCGAATTATTATGAGGCGCCATAGGTCGCACGTCGCCATTTCCCCGCGAAGGGGACAACCTTTGAGGGCCCTTGTGCCGAGCTGGGGAACTCTGGGTGTGTCCCGCTTACACAGGTGATTGTAAGTGCCATTGTTTTTGGGTGGGCATAAGCGGTCGGTCTAGTGTTATTATGGTTGGGGCGCTGCGGGGGGAGCAAGAAGGATAACTAGATCTTAGCCCCCATCTGTGGTCTTGTGTTTGAGGGGCAATCACACCAGTAGAGGCTGAATTACTGTAAATGTCGCGCTCGTTAGTCATCTAGTTGTTTAAGTATTTGAGTTTAGTTCAAAGCAAATGCAAATAATTTTTTTTATTGTTCATCGTCACATTAGTTATTTGTTTATGTTTTTACACGCGTTACTTTATATTGTCCATATCATCGGGCTCATCGATTCTGGCGAACTAATTTAGATTTCGGGTTACGTTAATTTCAAAATAACTAATACTACAACCAAGATAATAGGGAACAGCACACACACATAGGTTAGGTTTGTTTTCAAGATAGCGTGTTCCGAAAAAAAAAAATTGTACAAGAAAACGTTCTCTTTTCAGTAACATCTTAATCTTTCCACGTGTAATTTTTCTTTTTGTATTGTAGCATTATGTATAAATGGTAGTTTTTCTTTTGTGTCTAATTTAAATAACATCGCGATTTGAAGTTCAAATAAGTACAGTTTTTTTTCAAACACGAGCTCTTGGAAAACAAAATTAATTAAGTTCAGTTGAGGGTCAAATTGACCTATATAAATTTAGTTTGATATTTGTTTTAAAGATTATGGTTGTCGATTAATATTTTTTTTTATAGATTACTTGTTATGTTTTTAATCGTTTTTTTTTTGTTTGTTTGTGGTCTAACAATCTTATTTATTAATAAATGGGAGAATAGCTAGTTAAGAACCCAAGACGACATAAATCTGACCGAAAGCACAATTACTGAAGGCACACACCCACAACTACAGTCTACGTTCGATTTCATATTAAGTAAACCAGGCTCTGGACGTGCGGCCAACAATTATGGATACCGCTACGGGGACCTCAAACATCGTTGGAAAGTAGCAACAATTTTTAGAGCCGAGGGCGGCTCTGGTGTGACAGGGGGGCGTGTGACGATAATCATAATTATCGTCGTATTGATAATTATTGTCGCCTGATGGTCGTCAACCCCAGGGTACACCCCTACCACTACCCCTAAATATCTATTGGTTCTTGGGGTCCATCAGAGAGACGCTCCGGAGATCCTGGCAATTAAGAAGTTAGAGCCAACGAAGACGTATCCCATAGGCGAACGCCTTGGGATACGTTAGTGTTAGTTGTGTGTGTGTGTTGTGCAACAAGACAGGTCCAGCTTAAAGGTCAGATAATGTAAATTATAAGCTGTAGCTATTCTCCCCTCATATCTCCATATAAGCATATATACCATGATATAAGAATAAGTGGTATTAGTTAGGGAACATGACCTTATGCAAGTACGGTCATGTTCCACAAATACATGCGAAATGTATTATTAATTATTTTAATAGATTTAGTTATAAAAGAAATCTTGGTTTCATTCGTATAGTAGCTACTAACCCCCACAGGTAATTACAGGTACTTTAGCGGGCGATTGGAGTGTTGAAGTAAGCCCTTCGTAAGGGGTTGCAAGGCTAGAATATAATATTTGGCAGCCATTGCATACCCCAAGAAGGGGGCTTCAACCCCTCTCGTCACAATATATATATATATATATATATTATATATATATATTAGGGTGGTCCTTAATATGGACATTTTCTAATTTCCTTGCTCCCAAGGGCTCAAAATGGTTCCAAACTGATAAAAGACTATTCTCTGAAAGTTTTAGCTCTTAATATTGTCTTTTAGATAGTGCGCAATTCAAAGTTTTGTATGGAAATCGCATGGAAAAATTTTCAAAATCTTTAAAAATGTTTTTTAGATGTAATTTAACAAACAAATGAATGAAACTCATTCATTTGTCGCTAAGTTATACCTAAAACATTTTTTTTGTTAATTTTCAAAAAAAATTTCTTGCTATTTCCATACAAAGTTTGATTGAATTGTGCACTATCTAAAAGTTAATATTAAGAGCTAAAGCTTTCAGAAAATTGTTTTTTATCAATTTGGAACCATTTGAGCCCTTGGGAGCAAGGAAATTCAAAAATGTCCATATTAAGGACCACCCTAATATATATATATATATATATATATATATATATATATATATATATATGTGTGTGTATATGATTCGAGTTAGACAATTCAGAAATAAATTCATAAAGCACATATAAAATAATGTTAAAATAATTAATATTAATTGTATGCAATGAAATTGTATAGTTTCAATAAATAAATAACTATGAATAAAATAAATGTGACATAAAACACTTTCTCATTATTTCTTGTTCTTACCTCTAATGAATTGCAAATGGCATCTTTGAAGTGATCTATTGTAACAAAATCTGAGAAAAATGGCAATAAGTCCTCAATTTTAATCAAATCACACTGGTTTAAAAATTCCATCGCTTGTTCTATATCATCTTTTCCACTCAGAACATGTTTGGCTATAAATATCAGAAGTTAAAGAATTGCTAATCAAGAGAAATGTAAAAAGAAACTTAAATATCTACCTATTTTCAACCATAACATTCTACGTTGTTCATCACTAAGATTTGGCTGTGACGCGGTAGCTTTTGCCAAATCAAGATTTACAGTTAGTGCTAAATCTACAGCAGCTTCCCAGAGTCCTAGCAAAGCTGATAATTGTACGCAAGCTTCTGTAAGATGCTTTTCTCTACACAATCTAAATAACAAGTTTAGGAAAGGTCTTAAACATTTAGTAACAAAAGAAAGTTGTTTGTAACAGTTGATTAAAATTTGAAAACTATGATTTTCAATTTGAAAAAAAAAAAAACTCAAGTATGTACAGATATCTAATAACACCAATATTTTAACGCATCTCATAACTAGTAATTCGACACAATATATTAGTTAATAAATTCAAGGTGGTAATCTAGAGACATGAATTTTATATGATTTTTTAAAGACCGTAAAAAATAGCAAACAATATTTTTACTATATTTCTTTTTACAAGTTAAATTAATGTTTTGAGGATATATACAAAAATAAATAAAAATAGTCATAGATGTTTAATTCTAGAAGGTAATGAAATAAAATATGTAAGGGGTCTAAAAAATATTGGCACCTGGCCAACCCATGATTTTAGCCCTCCAAATAATCTGATGAAAATAATTTATATATATATTAATACAATATAATAAACTATGGACAAGTTAAAATAGTTATTTTAGAACTTTTTTTTGACATTCTCTAATATTCAAAAATAATAAAAATCGAGATTTGAGGGGGAACATAGTTCATACTGATGAGAATAAGTCTATGAACAAAACACTGTAAAAATTTCAAGTAAATCGGTAAATTGAAAACGATAGCTAATAACGCTCAGCGTTCTGCAGAGGAATCGTGCTCAAACAGTTATATCCCCAAAAATAACAAAATTTAAAATATCCTTCTGTACACTTATTCTTGAATACTTAATTTTTGATAATATCCAAAAGAAACAAATCTAATACACTAAATCAACAAAAATCTGGTAGAGAGTTAATAATGTTAATATGAGGTTCAGACAAAATGATGGTAAAAGAAATAAAATTCTTTATAAATGGCATAAATTTAAGAATATATTTATCAAATAAATTGAAATAAAGTTTAACAATTGATTTATGTATGTGAAAATTGTTTGATTAAAAAAAAAACAATAATAATAAAGAAAAACTTTTGTAGTTTTTCATACTAGAAATTCATAATTTCATTACAAGTTCTATAAAGATAAAAAATAAAATTAAAAAAAAAAAAACTATTTGCAAATAGTTATATAAAAATACATAATTTAATGCAGAATGCCTGACAAAAAACTTTGCATAAACATATTTATAAAATAATTTTACTGACCTCAGAGCATAATGTACATCATAGTGTATCATGGTTAAATCCTGGCCTTGAGTTGCCAAATACAGCATCAATTTCTTGGGATAATGGTTAACATATAATGTTAAAAGATAATTATGTATTGCCTGTTGTGTTGAACCGATGCTATGAACACAAAACTCTAAATATTTTATAATTTCTGCCATGTGTTGCTCACTGATGCCTGCAGCTCCCACCTGAAACAGAAATAAAATTATCACTCAAATTTTTCAGATCTCAAACAAAGTTATATTTGTAATTAAATCTTTGTGAATCTTGTGATATTAAATATATTGAAATATTGATAAAATAAAAAATAAGAAGTAGTAAGTAGTATTTTGTCTTAAGGCAAGTTGCTTCCGGATTGAGATTCAGCTATTTAGTAATGCTCAACTGTTAATTCGCAAAAAAAAATCACTTTTACTAAAAAATAATGAATGCGATAAACTAATTGATATTTTTTAAACATACTTATAATATCTGTAATTATATAAATTATAAACTAAATTGATAAACTCATTTCATTTTATCTATTTCGTGTTGTATAATGTATTTTATTTATGATTTATGAATCTCAACTGTAATCAGTAGCTACCTACAAAACATTACAGAATAGATGTATATAGATGTTTGGCATAGATTCCAATTAGCTTATCTATTACATCGTTTAAGTTCACGGCGAAATTCTATACTTTAATGAAATTTTATAATTCAACCAATTATCGTAGGCCTATAATATTTTAGTATGTTTTTACAGATTACAAAATCTATCGTTATACAAAGTTTCATAAAGATTGTCAATAATTTTTTTTTACAACATTTAATTACGAAGAAATGGCCCGGGCAATCTATCCCAAAAAATAATCAACTAATCAATTAATACCCAATCAATATCTCTTGAACAGTTTATGAAATGCGGGCAAGAAAAAATTACACTTTTACGCTAATTAAACAGTAAATTAAAGAAACGGCTCGGCCAATTGCACTTAAGTTCGAGTAACATCAAATGGATCAAATTTTTGAATAGATCAAATCGGTTCAGCCGTTTCGCAGGGAACGTAGACAAAAAGTCAAAAATCAGCTTACATACACACACATACTTTTTCCAATTTGGTCTCATTCAAATCAGAAGAACTTGAAAAGATGAGAAAACATAAAATTAGGCAATCCGATTTTCATGCAAACACTTCTCCTTCAGGGAGTTAATATAAATAATGTGCAAAATGCATAAAAATAGATTAACAAAATATATCAACATATTTTAAATTCAAAATTGTGACACATTAAAAATGTATGGTAAATTCTGACGTCAACAATTTCTAGCAAGTTGATAAAAGAATAAAATATGGATATGAGTTAATACACTTAAAACGGCTTCAAACTTTTTAAACAAGATACAATCAAAAAAATTATAGAAAAAATTTGCTATATACAGCCTATTTCCCATACCAATGCAGGAAGTAGTTTTGATGGTTGTAAATGTTTCCCTCTTGAAATCAAAACTTGGACAGTGCTTTTTGGTATTTCTTCCATAAGTATTGGGCAATGTCTGTAAAACAACTCATTATTACTTTGTCTCTTCAAGACATCTAAAGCTTCCATGTATTGTCCTTTATACAGATGCATCATAATCACATTTTCGAAGTCTTCGTTTAACATTGTCAATTTTATCAAGTTACCATTATCTCCATGAGACGCCATTAATTCATAAATTACTCTTTTATTGTTGCATATATTCTCATAAACTACTGGTTGCCTAATAAATTTATCAAACTCGGTTTGCAGTTCATGGCATTCTTGACTATCTAATAAGTTTCTATTTCTTAAATTACCTATTTCATTTAAATACAACTCAATAATCCATATAATAACCATTGTGATTTGCGTTTTATCCTGAGGTTTTAACATATCTAATTTCCTACGAAGAAATAGTCTCAGTGCTGGAATTTCATTCCGCTCCAAAAATTTTAGGCAAACACCTTCAAAACTCGATTGCGTTTCGGCAAATATAAGAGCAGATTCTTTATATTTTTTTTCATTATATAACATTTCAGCTTCCTTTATTTGAATCTTATCATAAAATAAAGGATTGTTATTGCAATACTTTTTTGCTAATGCAAATTCGTTTTTGTCAGCATAAATTTTCCATACATCCCTTTCTTCACGTGTGACTTTGTATCTGAATTTTAAAATAATTATCATGAAAAAAACTGATATAAAAATGCATATATAAAATTACAATTTTTACTAAATTAAAATTCTTATAAATTAATCATAAGGCAGTAATGAAACAAATAAATAGAATTAATGGCAATTCAGGATTAAAATTGTTATAAGTTTAAAAATAATCATATTTATTGATAAGTTATAAGTTCAAAAATAATCATATTGTATAAAGAGACTTAAAACAGGTATTATATTACACTGATTTGAAAAATATAATAATAATGAAATAAAATATTACAAATAATAATAATAAAATATGTTTAAGTTAAATTTTGCAGCATATTTGAAAATGCAAATATTTCAATATATAATTCAATACAATTACCTCAAGGTGAAAGCATATGGCAAGAAAAATTTTGTTCATTTGATTATATACTGGTTCATACTAAATAAATGTGATTGCAAAGAAATAATTGCTCTCTTCATAAAATTAATATAGGTAATATTATATGATTAAAAATTGAAGACATAAGTAAAACAAAATCAATTGCTACTGAAAATCATGTTTTTTCTGATATTACAATGTATACGCTGCATTATATGTTAACTTAGAAACATCTAGTTCAAACACACTAAGTAATTCATAATGTTGGTTTTACCTAAAGACATATTTATCTGTAAATAACCAAATAGTTCCTTTTGCAGGATCTCGTGCAATGTTAACAACTTTCCCAAAAGCTTCATTGTAATTGTCTTCAAAAATCACATCATTATTCAATAGCGAAATTCCCACAACTTTATCTTTATAAACAAGTAGAGTATGAAATTCTGTCATCACAAATGTTATTGGATATAGTTTAGACTTGGATTTCAAGTTATCATTTGTTCTATTTGGAAATGCTAGCATTTCAGCTTTGGATATAAAATTTGAGTCATCAGATTTATATGGGTCAATCTGAAAATATAAAATATTAGCAAATATGTTACTAAACTAATTTTGAATATTAAAATCTTTAAATTTTGGAGAAAACATTTTATTTTTCAAAAATGCTTTAACCAAATCAGTAATTATATAAAATCTCGTAATAATAAAAAATTTATAAGAATAATTTAATTTCGTAGACCCATAGTTAAAGGTTCAATGCCTCATAAATAAGTATCACTAATATAAATTACTTTTCCATAGTACAATCCATGTTCTATAAGCCATCCAAAAGATTTGGGCAGGCTAGACACTTCATTGTAGTATAATTTCAGTTTTGAATATTTCAATGAACTTCCCATTTCTATACATTCCTCTGGTTTGTTTAAATATGAATTGAAAACTTGCTGTAATAGCGACCTGTCTTCTGATGAAGAAGTACCAGAAAATTGATAAAGTCTTTGTGGTGTTGTAACAAGAACAATATACTTATTTGTATCATTGACTTTGCGAAATTCTAGACCAGTAATTGGGATGTCATCTCCCTTGCCAATATCAAAAATCTGTAAGCAAAATATCATGAATACTCAAATTCCTTTTACTTTAAAATAACAAATATAAATATGATAAGATAACAAATATAATTATGATAACAAATTATTGAATGCATTGCAATAAATTGAGAAGCATAATGGTATAGTTAAAAAGTTTCATGCAAAGCTACAACCACTACAAATAAGTGATATACTTATTTATATGATAAATAGATTAATAAAATAAATTGCAAAGAGTACATTTATAGAACCAAAACTTAAAAATTTATTTGAACATTAAATTAAATCATGTCCTAAATATTATAAGGCAATAATAATTAAGAAGTGAGTCTAGTACACAGATAATTTAAAGATTACAATTCATTTGAATAAAAAAAACATTTTGGAGTGGATTTAAAATATATTAGTGAAAGCAATGAAGATGAAATGATATATTGAATAAACTATTTACACAAATTTCATATAGACAACTTTATAAACACTAACTTTAATATTATTTTAAATAATTGTTTTGTCCAAGGATTGAAATTTACAAGATAATAATTAAATAAGAAATCATAACAAAATTTAACATATTCATAAGAAAATTTGTTATCTTCTGTAAAATAGTTAAATACAAATATACAACCAGCAATAAATGGTTTAATACAAATTTGATTTATTAATTACTACATTACATTTGTAAATGTAAAAATATAAATTCAAGGAATGATGATCAAAAATATTTGTAGAAAAAAAATGGGATTATAAAAAATATATATAAGTAAAAAATATTTGGAGAATTGTAGTTGGTTTTAACCCTCCGTCGGTCGGAGTGGTCTAGCCAGAGTTTTTTCGACTTCAACTTAAAAAAAAAATACTTCCAGTAATCATATCGACTTGAAATTTCTTGACTTTTCCTAAAAGTTCATCAGCTGTCAATCAATGAAAAAATCAGAACGAAAAAATGTACAGAAGAATAATTAGAAGGATATTAACTTTTTTATACTTCAAACGGTCGGAGTGGTCTGTCTAGACCACCCATACATTGTAACATGAAAGTTAGTATTTACACGCACACATATGAAAATTCTTTAAAAACCTATCATACTTATTTGTTATCGCAAACATTGAAAATCGGATGAATAATGCGCACATTGCACATTATCAACAATTTTTCTACCCATACTGCGTTAAAAACTTTTTTCGGCGAACCTGTAGCCGTAAGTATGCAGTACAATTGAAATTATATTTTCACTTTGAGTTTTACAGCTCATTTCGAAGGCGCCAAAGAAGAATAAATATTGTTTTTCATTGATATAAAACAGAAAAATTAACAAAAAAGCAACGATTTTTTTATATTCCATGATTTGTTTTTTGAAATATTTTTATTAGAGACAAGCTCAACACATGCAAAAGACGGTAAGAAAAAGAAAAAATCTAAACTATAAATATTTAATACTAATAATCGTTAATATATAAGACACCAAAAACTCATTTATCCCATATAAATGCATGTAAAATGAATGGTGGTCCAGCCTGACCACTCTGACCATTCAAATCCAAATAAATATCCGACCGACAGAGGGTTAATAATAACTTTTTTGTTACTTGTTAAATAAAAAATAATGCAATAAATACTTGAAGAAAAAATATTTATAACATACCAGACCTTCTACCTCCCTGTTACCATAAAGTGGTAAATAGTTAGGAAGCTTGAGTAATTTTAATAATATTTTATATTTAAATTATCATAATTAAATATATAAAAAAATATAAAATATAAAAACAAATTGGCTTACTTGTCTCCAATACTGCTCAAGACTACTATGAAATATTTTGTCACCATCTAATCCCATTTCAGTTTCAAAAATTAAACCTTTAGATGTTCCTAGCAAAATATGACCTGTTGTAGTCTCAGAGCACACATTACAATTCCAGCCAACCTCAGTTATTTCGTAGCCTCGAAACTTATTAGAAGCTTTAAGTTTATTACTTTTCCTATTGAGATATATTAATTCACTGGAAGATTCAGGCTGTCTTGAGGTTAGAGCAATAAGCAGGTGATTACCATATGGATCAATAAATATTTCGCTTATTTTGTATGCAGGTTTATTCAGAGATATTTCTGAAATAACATAAATAAAATTAAATAAAAGATTAATACTTTAATTTTTAAATAGTATAAAAAAATAATATGGCAAAAGTGAAATATATATAAAAAACTTGTGTACATATTTGATAAGCAATATTAAGTTATTTAATCTATATATAGTAAATAAACATGTACATAAATATTGAAATAAATATATTAAAAATAAAGCAGATTTTGTTATAAAAATGTGCAATGTAAGCACAGATTAAAAACAAAGGTGATTCGAAAATAAAAGTAATATTATAAACAAATGATTCTGCCGACATAAAATGCATATGTAGTATATTCACTATACCTTCATTTTTATCAGGCTGTTTCAAATTAATTCTAAACAAAGTATTATTTGCCATGGCCAATACCAAAATATCGTTAGCAACTGCCAAATGTGTAATCTTATCCGAGGGCGTAAACTGCATTTTTTGTTTGCTAAAAATTGGTGTACTATCCTCCATCCTTGAATTGTATCTTTAAGGTAAGAATAAATTAGGTACATGCAAGCAAATGTCACTGAAGGATTCAAATTGTCAGTGTAATTATTACCCGGAAATTGGTTCATCTGATATTGCACCAGCAATATTTTTTTGATTTGCTTGTTCATACTGATCCATAATAGAAGTCATTATTGGACTTTAAAGTGTAGACGATGATATCATATATTGTTTAATATATTTTATAATTATTATTTATAGTTATCAATATTATAAATGGTCATAATTATATATATACATATTACTAAGTTAAATCAAAATTAATTAGATTTATTTTACATTTCTGACAGTTAAAGACGCACTGAGCGTCAATGACATTTGAAACGTCAAAGAAACGCGTGATGTATGCAATAGGTGGCAGCGCTTATCAAAGACGCGGCGCGAATTTCAAATAACTCAGTTATTTATGATATTTATTTTTACATAATTTAAACATAATTAATAACAGTTTTAATCAAATATACGACTAATAGCGCAGTAAATATAAAGGAAAAAATGATGTAGCCTCTTAATTTTATTACTGTGCGTAAAATTTTGGAAATAGGCTAATCGTACCCTTAAGTATAATGTATAAATTGACATTGAGCTATTTTATCGCTAGAAAACGAGTTCAATATCAAAGGGTAAAATTGCAAAGTATTTTCTAATAAATTTACGTTGCAATCATTTTCAATACCTTGAAAACCTTACAACTCTCGCAAACAACCTTCGAGTTAAAAAAACCTAAAAATATATTAGTATTAAGTATAAAGTATTTTATATTTAATCTCTTTATCTTAATTATCGAATTTTTAACCATTTTTTGTCCCTTGAAAAAAACAACCTTCTGATGAAAAATTGCTTAAAAAAATTATTTTGAAATTGAGAAAAATAATGATTTGAATATTATTTCAAATTCTCATAAATGATTACCATATTTAAAATTTCTTCAATCCTTAAAACTATCCTTAAATTTAATATTTATGATAACATATTTAAAACTATTTATTATATATATAAATATATATATATATATATATATATATATATATATATAAATGGTAGAGTCTTGGATTTGTGAATATTTTGTAGAGTTTCGAATAAGAATCCAAAAAGTAATAAAAAACAAAAAAAGTTTTTTAATAAACTATTTCTTTCTTTATTTATTTATTTACTGTCGACGTTTCGGAACTAGGTACGTTCCATCTGTCAAGAAACATATATATATATATATATATATATATATATATATATATATATATATATATATATATATATTGAAGGTGTTTAAATTTGATGTTGAAATGTATGATTAATTTCTTAGAGGGCGTAACATCAAGTAAAAAATATAAATAAAGTAAAGATTTTAAAAAATCTTTATTTATCCAATCGGATCGACGTTAAATTCTGCGCCATCGTCAGTGGTTTTGAAATTCTTAAATTATTACTTACACATATTAACAACAACTTGTAAATAATTAATAATTGGAACAAGCACCAAATGTCAGGAATTTCTTTTTTATAAAGAATTTTTACCGAAATTTATATTCTTGGACAAGCCTCGGATGCGCGGGTGCTTACGTGCAATATTTACGTAATATTTACGTATAACTTGTTCTGTTTTCATGCGATTAACAGTTTCGGGTGATTGGTGATTAATGTTTTTATGTTTAATAATTTTATGGTTTTGCGCGTATACACTATTGGTTTTTGAGGTGTCGTTCAGTATTTTAATTGTTGTACAATTGGAATAGTTGGACTATTTTCTTCGCTGATTTGCATAATTATTTAGTAACACTGGAATTACACTGTACAATTTCACTGCACTTCTTAGGTGCCCTCCTAAGAAAGGGCTTACTTTCACTATTGTTTGGTTTGAATATGTTTTTATATTACACAGCTCACTAATTTTGTTATGATTGAATAAATATTATCTTATTTTATTGAACCAGTAAGTGATCCGAACAGTACTACTGCTCGAGGAAAACTGATTTCGGAAAGTTAAAAAAAATTAGTAGGTTTAAAAATGTAATTGTTTACATTTATATGTTTATAAATACAATAAAATATATACATAAATACACTAACGATAAGAACTATATAACTTTTCATTAATATGAAAATCATAAAGAAACTATAATTTCAATATATATCATTATTATTATATCATTATTATTATATCATTATTAATAATAAATTCAGTTTACTCCAATAAATGTAATTTGGAAAGTCTTTGGTACTTTACTTATATAAAATAATAGATATTAACTATATATAAATAATAAAATAAAATAAATAGATTTTCTACAAAAATAAATTTCTTATATATTATAAATTTATCATAGCGTATGAACAATAAGGACGTTGTGAGAAATAATTAATTGAGATCGTTGCCAATAATAAATTGTGAACTGGTTCATACTAATAAAAAGTCGTAGCGAAGAAATACCTGCTCTTTTCATTTTTTTTTTATTTTATATAGCGAAGGAAATGCATTTACGCATACCAAGACTAGGTCATTTGTCATGGTATGTCGGACTCAATACCGCCTGGGTATAATACCGACTAAAACCTCCGCTTATTTCTTGTCTCGGATAAAGTTATTCGACATATCTGAATATTTTGAAAATGTGACCGAGCAGGTTATAAATTTAGGTGCAGTGTTTTTCCGCCACCGAAAATGAATTCATTTCAAAATCAGGATTAACTATGAAACTTGTACTTCTTTCTCAATAAGAGCTGTCGTTCCATAAAGAAGAGTGCTGGGTCCAATATTTACTACATACAAGAACAAATCTTGCCATATTATCTTTGATTATCAGTATTTTCGATATTCAAACAAAATTGTTTGAAATTAAAAAAAAAATGTGTCTCTCACCAAAAGCAAACGTTTTGTCAACACAAGTAGAAAATTTTTAAATCATTCAAATCGGATGCTCCGTTCACTCAAAAACGAGATTTCTATTTTTTGCACTCTTTATTCCGTATCTCTAAAACGGTTGGACCTGTCTTTGTCCTAAACTAATCAGCACATCTCCATATCAATAGAAATCGAATGTTTTTTGGATCATTCAAATCGCTTGATCCGTCCGGCCGAAAACGGGATCGAAAAATTGCGGACACACAAAACACACACACACACATACATCCATTTTTTCTAAGGTATGCCAAAATATTCAGAAACCAAAACGTGAAGATATGCAAAAATTTTCAATTTCAACTTTTTATTGTGACAGAAGGTTACAGACCTAAATTGGCTAATGAGACGCAAATCAATCATGTAACTTGATAATAAGTTATTGATATATAAATCTATAATAAATCCCATCCGATATAGAGCTTTGGGATTGCGCAAGTATGTCCAATATATTGTTTTAATTTATTGCCAAATCTTGATGACAGACTAAGTAAAAGAAACAAGTTGTTCCAAAAAATATTTAAAAATTTCATCAAGAATTTAAAAACTGTAATGAAAAATTTGATGCAAGTTGAATTAAATTGCCGTACACTAAATATTACATAAAAAATGCACAACACAACAAAGAAAAAAAGGTAGCAAAAGTGTATTGCACAAGTCAATAACAATTGTTAATAAAAAAATATAATTATATATTATTGAATAAAAAATTTAAAAATTTTATATTAAAAATTTACATGAATTTATTGGCCTGTTGACAAATTGGTAGATAGAACAATATATATAAAAATGCGATAGAAAATATGTTGTTCCAGAGTTTAACAAAAACACTTGGTCGATTCAGTATGTATTAAAAAATTGTATAAGTATATTCAAAATTTAATATATGCAACAGATTAACAAGATCTGCAAAAATAGTTTGAACAGTTGAAAAAATAAATTATATTAGTTCAGTTAGCAAAATTATGTTCATTAAAGAAGTTCCACGCGTTGCCTTACAAACGTACCCGCATGTTATAATTGTACAGATGCAGTTTTGTACTATTAAAAATATTATAAGATTTCAAAAATATATATTATAAGTTGAAGTTTTTGTCACATGAAGATGATTAAAATTACATATATAGAAGTATAGAAAAAATTAAATAATTTCACAAAAATGCGTATAATATTTTCACAAAAGTATATTTATGTATTTATAAAAATTTATTCAAATATTGCAAAAACGCTAAACGATATAATTGAATTATCATCACCGAAGCTATGTATGCAACTTACGCTATAATAGAAATAGGTTTATTCAAAATTTAATAAGTGCAAGTGCAAAATTAGTCTGAACAGTTGAAAAAATAATTTATATAAGTTTAAGTTAAAAAAATAATGTTAATTAATATATTTCAGCATGCCGTATACGGAGTCATGCCTGCGCGAAACTATGCGAATTGAAACCTTGGTTCCTTTAAATTTGCCGCATCGCGCCCAAACTGACACCTCCTTAAATGGATACAATATACCAAAGGTAAAATTTTAAACAATTTACCGATTGAAAATTTACGAATGCTGTGCTTTTAATACTTTCAGAACACTATGGTCATAACCAATTTATGGAGTATACACCACGATTCCGATATATGGGGAGATCCTGAAGTATTTCGACCTGAACGATTTTTGGATTCACGCGGTTTGTTAAAGAAAAAAGATATCACTTTACCATTTGGAGCAGGTAGACACAAAATCCATTAAATTACACGATATATAGAAAATGAATCATACAAAATATCAATGCATATAACATGCATATAAACCTGATATATAATACATTTAATAAAAGTCATAACTATGATATGAGTCATATATGAGTTTGAAAATATTAGAAGAAAAGCTTGAATTTGCTAAAAGACTAGAAGATGTAAAAATTGCTCACAAAATCAAGATTAAAATGCTGATATGTTCTCGAAAATGTTTAATTTCAGGAAAACGTTTGTGTGCTGGAGAAACGTTTGCACGTCAGAATATGTTCCTGATGTTTGCATCCTTAGTTCAAAATTTCATATTTTCACCAGCACCCGGAAAAGAGAAACCGCCGCGCCGGGGAGAACTATCAGGATTCATAATTTCTCCAAAGGACGTTTGGATAAAGTACCAAGTGCGGTATAGTTAACATGCAAATATAATTCGGAAATATGATATTATAAAATATCTCTTAAAATAATGGATAAAATGTAATATAAAATTG